ATGGGGGGGGGGGTATTTTGTTTTATTGAAAAATTCCGGTTTCAGATGTTTATTAGGGGAGAGTAGAAATCTACTTTAAATGTACGACTAGTGTCATTTGGAAAAATTGAACTATTTTTTTCAACATGAGGGGAAGCTCTAACGGATCCAGCATAACTTTTCACTAACCAGACAAAACGAACTGGATGTTTGTTAGCACAACTGACATCACAGCTGTCGGAAGCATGAATGATCCCACAGGTAATCTTTTGGTCAATATTTAATCACATGTATTCGAGTGTATCCGGGCTTGAACAAGCCGAGAACATGATTAACCAGCATTGTGAAACGAGATTGTGGATAGAGTACGGTGAATGGGGTACTAAACAGTGAATGTTTTTTGATAACAAACTTCAAAGCTAAACAGCGTATAAACACTTGTATGCAAATGCATACTAAGTTCCCCATAGTTCAGTTTATCCCCGTGTTTATTCACCTAGATTTCATTACCGAGTGGACTCTTTTCTATCTACACAGTACCCAGTTACTTTTAGTCCATCTTGACTAGGTGAATGAAGTTGAGCATACAAGCGTAACTAGGAATTTAGATACGTGTATCGTTGAAATCACCCATCCGTTATAGCATATTCGCATTGGTCAAATAAAACAATTCTCCATCTAGCATCGGTTCATGCCAAATCACTGCTCCGGTAAACTGTGTGTGCATGCTAATCGTCTATTGTACATTGTACGAGGCAATGTATAATTTATTTCTCCGTTTCGCTGGAGTGCACACTTCCCCCTTCGACATATGTATTTTCTTTTCGGAATACACAACACTTTGTACTCGTTTATCATGCACGCAAATGCTGGTATTCCATTCGAACAATTGGAGTTCAATACTGAATACTGTGGTTCATATCCACTTGCGGAGAAATGGTGTCAGTTAGTATCTCTGGTATTTGTTCGTTCCCGAATAATTTCATTCACTTCATACAACCGTTTCCAACAATTTCGATCAATGATGCGTTTCCGTGCTACTGTCCCACGTCTCATAGATCCGGGGTGATACAGGAAGGGGATCGTGTGATCACAATGAACGGACAGTCCACGTTAAATCGTACGATTGAAGAATTGACAATGGAGTTTCTCCGGCCTGATCCGCATCGATCACGTGCTCCACTCAGTCTCACCTTGGTCACACAATACTCTGTGGCTGATACGGTCGTGCCCAGCTCGGGGGTGTTTGACGTGAAATTGGTGCGCAGAGCAGCCAATCTCGGTATTAATCTTCAAGGTATGTGCTGCGTCATCGAGACTGAGTAAAATTGTTATTGGTGAAGAAGCGTTTAACGCGTACAAAAGATAACCTATTTATCCACATATTAATTATGAATCAAGTCCATATATGTATACACGTCGACCCACAAAATATTCTCATTTGGTAATTAGAAAGCCATACGAACGAGCTTGTTTTGGTAACGCTGTCTTCAAGTGTTTACAGTTACATGCCTTTTTATACACTAAATAATTTGGAATGACGGTTGGACAGTAAATTGAAAACATGTATGTCACAGTAATTCGTAGAACGGTAAAAAAATGCGAAGGTTGTTGCATAAAAGCTGGGGAAACGGAGTGGGGGGCTCAGTGGTCAGGAGTTCTGGTGACCATAACATGCCTAGTCTGGTCGCGATTTCCAAAGTCATCCTCGAGCGATCGCAGTCACGATCATATTCAATTTCTATAGTTCAACTCCAGGCCGGGGAAGCTGCAATGGATTGGCCAGTTTTTTTCCTGTGCACAGGGTGGTCGGTTAAGTGATCTAACCAACAACGAATCCGCAAATGCGTTGTTGTACGAGGTCCGGTCTAGTCGAAAGTACTCGGTATAGGACATTGAAATTGTCGTTACGGACCGGATGCTCTTTTTCTTTGAGGTGGGTTAAGACTGCCTTTTTAGCCGCGTTCATGCAACCAGAGTCCATCAATGCTGGTACTTGTTCTTTGAGTATCTGTGATCACCACCATCCACAGGTGCTCAGGGGCAGGTAAATTAATAGAAAACCATCAATCAGGTGGGGCTCCACCGACACTCTAGCGTATTTTGTGTAAAAGTCTGTAAACAACCGTAAATGCAGGAAGACGAGGGTGCGAAGAAAATCCTCTTATATCTCAGTTTAATTTTAGCTCCTTTTTCATATCTGAATAGATAAACTCCAGTATTTAGCTTTATATTTATAGCATTTGAACAGAAATACACTTGCTCTTCTCTGATTACTATGAATCATTTATACAGACGAGTTTTGTGGAGTGTTTTTTTGCAGCACTCCTAGTTGCCCCAGTCAAACTGCATTCAGGTGTTGAGTGACGTACACCATGAACCTCAGATATCATTCAGCAGTTCGGATAAAATA